GTTGAGTGAAACATTTTATTTTCGTAACTTTATCATAACTCCCATACATTCCCTTATAAACCATACACAGGAACCTTGTTTGGGCTGCCTGTGATTGAACGCATCATTAGATAATTGAAGGGGGTGGGGGGATTGAGTGAATCCAAAAAAAATTTTGATCAAGCACTTCACGTACGAAAATGTTATCACACAACCTCCACTTTCCGTAAAGAAATAAMCAGCAAACACAAAAAAATATATATCGTGCAACATAAATCCCTGCAGCCTCCCCCTCGATTGCCTAATGGTCCACCCCTAAGCTAAAGAACTAGAATGTTGAAAAAAGGCATGAAAAAATCAGGACTGCACTGGACTGGACCGGACGCTGGTAGGCCAAGAAATTTGATCATGAATTAAAARATAAAGAATATAATTGATACTGCAGAACGTTTTATTTTTGCAGCATCTGAAATTTGGCAAAACTTTCGATCCTTGAAAAAACTGTTGTTTGCTATGTATATTAGCATCTGCTATTCCGGAAACTCCTCTTCCATTCCACTTAATTTTTACTTTCCAGCTTAGCAGATTTGCTGTCTTAAAATAGGCATCTGTTAAATCATTTAAGCAGATTGATCCTCTACGTAAATATCATTTCAAGCAACAGCTTGTTATCATGTAGGCGCCATTTCCGTTTTCGTCTGGTCTTCAGTGTTTGCTTTTAGGTAAAGAAAACCCTCTAGTAAAATAGATAAGATTTAAATTTTTTTTTAATTATTGAGATTTTCTCAGCTGATCGATGCTAAGCATAAGCGCATTGCAATACGCTATTTGGTGGCAATGGTTACAAAATAGCCGGCTTAGACGTCACAACTCGTTTATAAGGGTGACAGAATTCATTCGCCCACAATTACTTAGATGGACGGTGCTGTGTTTTGCTGTGTGGTGCTGTTATATTTAATTTAAAATGACATGTTTTGATTGACGTCAGACACCTATGGACCAATAGGAATTTCTCGCACCCAGAATAATGAGTAAAAACGCTAAAACAAAAACTGTCATATTGCAGACGCGCTCTCTCTCTTTTCCCCTCCCCCTCCCTTCCCCCTCCCTTCCCCCTCCCTTCCCCCTCCCCTTCCCTCTTTCCCTAACCCTTTCCCAATCCCCTAGAGCGACGCTACGCAGGATATCTTAGCCCAGATTGCTCTGATTTTGTGTCGAAGAGTTATATATTCAAGTTAAGTTATAGAATTTCAAAATAGTTTTATTGTTTAAGTTGTGCATTCTTTACTTCAATGTTGGTATTTACTAATATTTTGAATCTGAAATAAGGCTGGCACTTAGTAAATGAGTCTGATATCAAGGCACAGTCAGTCATAATAAGGAAACGTCATACGTGTTGAATTTTGTCCTAATTCTTGATAACGTCATATGAAAGCAATATTTTATTTAAATCCTAACAATCATGGTCATCGGGGGGGAGGGGAGGGTGGCTAGGAAATGAGTGATTTTTTTAATAATAATTCTAATAAAATAATTTTTCCTTTGCTTCTACACCAGGATCTACATGCCGTGATCGTGTGGCGAACTGCAATCGGTTGCGAACTTACAGATGGTGTCAGTATTACGTTAGTTACATGTCAACCAGCTGCCGAAAGACTTGCGGATTCTGTAAGTAATTCTATATTCTAAATAAATTAAGAAATTCTTCTTCAGTCAGTCAGTCACATTCTCGAGCTTATGGGAAATAACAACACAGTATTTAAGTGGACGTACGCTATCATCCTTGGTGTCCCCGCTCTAACTACAGCGTCAGATGGTGATGTTTTCACGTCCAAGAGAGAACGGCAACGGCAAGGACGACGCGCGCGCGCGAAAACCATTTTGAGAAGGGGCTCGCGTCATCATCCTAGCGTCGCCATCTGGGTCTTGCCGTCCTCATGCGTAAAGTCTCTAATTTATCATTCATCGTTATTCAAATATGAAACCTTGTCATTATTCAAAGCAAATTCAAATTCAAATTCCAGTTCAATTGAAAGAGTTTTAATTTTGGAGCGATTTTCGTCCAAGTAGCAGTTTAATTCATTCATAATTTTTATGGTTCCATAAGAACAAAAGACATGCCCGCCATGTTGGTTGACATAACAAAAAGAACGAAAATCAAATCTTTTGTTCAAGTGAACTAACATGGCGTCTCTTCAAGAAACGATTTTCGATACGCGGGCGCTTCCCATAAATATCACACGAGAAAACGAGGCATTTTAGGGCAGTGTTCATAAGAAACTATAGACGTATAGGCTTGAAGAATATATTTTATCTGAAGTGCGCTATATTCTTTCAAAAAGTTATAATCTTGCTTCCGAAGTAGGAGAAAATCCAAAAGTATTTCTTTGTTAAAATAGTTTTAAAGTTTTGTATGTTTTTTCCATAGCTCCCTTAAGATATTGCCCTAAAATGCCTAGTTCAGTTTTGATTCTGAGCACTCAATACCTTTGTACAGCGATCGCGTATCTCGAAACTAACCTATTGGAGCCAAACATTAGGAGCTTGATGTACTAAACGTGAACCGGGCTACCTGTGCTTCTAGGTATACCCGTCGCCCCAGAGGCCTGTATGGACACTTACGATAAGTGTGACGACTGGGCTCGAGCTGGTCATTGCAAAGAAAACGAAATAACGATGAATATTTTTTGCACCAAATCTTGTGGGAAGTGTAAAGGTAGAAAACAGATATCTCTTGTCTGCATGCCTTGTACACATCCAGTTTGACCTACGTTGCATGCAATAAGGGAACATAACCACGTGCAACTCTTGAAATGAAATGCATGAGTTTGAGCTTGACACTGCTTTTTTACATCGTCATTCGAGTTAAGGTGAAGTTCTAACCATTTCCAGAAATAAATAATTTAGAGCAAAGGCAGTACCTTCTATTGCTGGGCTACGGCAATATGCTGATAAAAGTCATTGAATCTCATTATCTTCTCTAAATGGTTAGCAAACACTGATGACCTTGTGTTGTCAGCCAGAAAGAATACTATTGAAAACTTGAGATTCAGCTGATAAACATTCCGCACGAGACAGGAAATGACGTCAATGAAGTAAAATCCAGCAATACTTTGTCGTTTGTCTGGTAACCAGGGGCGGCATAACCTGAAATTCTTTGGGGGGCACTGAAATATTATATTTAACGCTATTTGATAATGACCGCTGTTTTGTTTGATTGCAGACGCATGCGCCGTAAAACTATGACTGAGAACAATTTTTTGTGGGGGGCCAGGCCCCTCCAAAAGATTTCGGGGGGGGGCACGGTCCCCCGGTTCCTCCGCCCCTAGTAACAGCTGGCAAACAAAACGCTCGTGACCAGCTAACTGGGGCAGACTTCCTTGCATGTACCTATTTTTGCACTAGTAACCTTAATAGACTAAATCCTTCTCAATAAATTGTCTTGAATGTGAGGCTTACAAGGGAAAATATTAAAAAATGCCACAAATTCCATCGAGAAAATTTCTTTTGTATTTCTACGTTAATATAGGCTAGCATCCAAGTTCTTTTTGAGAAGGGTGAATTCAGACACCGTTGATGTGTGAAGCGCGCATGACTCTATACTGCATATGCATTATTCTTCTTATTTAGCATGTACTATGTATGTAAATGTATTACCTATTAGTTATGTACCATGGTATGTGAAATGAATAATCCTTAAATAGCTTGACAGAAATTCTYTTCTTGTGATAAACTTAACACACCCAAGGTGAAGGTGATTGGAAAGCTTGGTGCAGGATACAAATTGCATGTACATTAATTTTATGTTATTGCATGATGATGTACTGTGATACAGATTATAGGGATATGGAACCTTCTCAAAAGATTTTTGAATATGAGGCTAACATTGAAATACAAAATAAAAGTGACACAAATTCCATCGAGAAAAGGTGTGATTTTATTTTCTATATTTACGTTAGCCTCTTATTCAAGATAATTTTGAAAAGGGTCCAATTCTCTTGGCATAATATAAAATAATTGACACTAGAGAAAAACGTTTGTCTATGCGTGCACTTTAGCACGTTTTCTAAGAAATTTGAAGAGTTTGAGTGAGAAAATAAATGTTTGTTTTCTCCAAGTATGCGAAACATTTTGCAAATATACTTTAGTCCCACCAAGAAACTGTAATAACAAACACAATATGAAAGAATTAGCCTTAAGTTTCAAGCATGGACGCTTAGTTTTCTCATTTTGTGAAGTCCAATTGACCTAATTCACTATGACGTCACTGTTTGTTTATGTCGGGGATAGAATCGCCAAATCCAATAAAAAATTCAACAAAATTTGCTCCTAGCGAAACAGTTTAATCTAAAATGGCCTGGTTTACAGATATAATGTGTGTTAATATGTACTAAAAAATATTCTGAACGTTTGCTGGCTATTCTACTTCTCTTCGTGGAATGATACGGGAATTAGAACAATTTTCGGTTAGTTTGCGTTGATTTGACCCCGTCCGACGACCATGATCCTTTGCGTTTAAACAATAGATTGTTGAATATTGTTTGATGTGACGTCATAGTGAAGTAGGGCAATTTATCGGGCATGTTTGAAAGTCAAATTTACATATGTTATGACTAATTTGCATACGGATTCAGAGCATGCGCAGACGTTTTTCACTCGTGTCAAAAGAATCAGAAAATGTAGAAATTCTCAACGTCACAATGAAACTGGGTCAAGCATGTGTACACAAACCTTTTATCATTTAGCAGTTTTCAATATTGAATTCAATAGCAGCGAGCTGTAAAGTTAAATTCTTGCCATCAATTCATATATGAACAATAGAGTGCGTGCAACCATGTGACTCAAAATCCCTCGAGATATGAATAACATTGAAACAGCCGCCATGTTGGTTGATCTAACAAGCGCAGATTAAGAGGAATGCTTTGTTATGGTCAACCAAGATGGCGGCAATGATGTAACATGCACCTGCTATATTTGGTATCTTTTTTATTCTAACTACAAAGAACAACTGACAAGTATTCCGAGCTCGCGTATTGAAAATCACTAAAAGATCACGYAAGGATAAAAAAAGAGGTGGTGCTTGTGAAAAAACTTTATGTATAAGGTTTAGAGCAAGCCCTTTTTTTTGGAGACGATCTCGACGAATTCTAATCGCCTGGGTATTTGACATTAGTTATGTTACTAAGCCAAGCTTATGCCACTTTCAGAAATTCCTTGGTCCTAGAATCAACTATTTACCATGGGCGTAGTGTTTTTCCATTTCAGAACACGTGCCATTCCCTAGAGTATCATTTCTTTGTTTAAAGGTTGTACATGAGAAGACACGTGAATATGGATACAACTGAAAACAAAGTATTTTATTCTTTAGGTAATGACACGTTTTTTGGAATCGTAAAACATTACGCCCGGGGTAAAAAGGTCTATCGTGTAACGCGCAACAAACTTTCCCCCACCC